AATGGCGGCCATTTTTGTGCTAAAAAATCATAAAAATCAAGCATTTCTCGGCTGTTTACAGATGGATTTTGTTCAAACTTGATATATAGACATTAAGGGACCTCGAGGCAAATAATTTTGTTTTTCAGATAACATTCAAAATGGCCTACTGGCGGCCATTTTGTTTTAATGAATGGGCTTCTAGACCCATATTTCCAACTTGTTTTGACTGATTATGTTCAAATTTTAAATATTCATTATACATCATGTCATAGATAGACAGATATATTGGTTTGACGATCCTATTCAAAATGGTCGATTGGTTGTCATTTTTGTGCGAAAAAATCATCAAATATCAAGCATTTCTGGCATTTATGGATGGATTTCGTTCAAACTTGGTACATACATTAGACATTACGGGTTCCTGATGCACGTCATTTTATTTTTCAGATCAGACTCAAAATGGCTGTCCGGTGGCCATTTTGTTTTAATGAATGGGTTTCCAGACCCATATGTCTGACTTGTTTTGACTGATTATGTTCAAATTTTTAATATTCATTATACATCATGTCACAGTTATACGGATACATTGGTTTGACGATCCTTTTCAAAGTGGCCTAATGGTCGCTATTTTTGTGCTAAAAAACTTGTTTTATTTTTTTTGATCGGATTCTGAATGACTGACTAGTGGTCATTTTGTTTTAATGAATGGGCTTCTAGAGCCATATCTCTGACATGCTTTGACCGACTATGTTCAAATTTTATATATTCATTATACATATATTCATAATGGCTGATTTTGTTTTAATTAATGCTGTTCCAGAGCAATATCTCTCAATACTCGTTTGATGATCAGATACAAATGTCAATCATTTAAATGTTAAACAATCATCATAATCATATTCCTGACATGTTTATATTCCAGCTATATTACTATAAACAAAACTTTATATCTTAAATTTGATAAATAACGATTTTAAAATAAATATTGAACAATTTATACAGGATCTTTTTGTGAAAGAGGACAAAAGTTATAATTGGTGTTCAAAGGATTGGGCAAATTTTCACACATACAATGTACTGTTAAGTTAACACACTCCTATATGTTACAAGGAATACTGAAGATATACGGTATCGCATGAACTTGTCTCTAGAGGGCCAAGAAACTAACACATTCAACACTTTGTTTACTGTCTAGATTCATTGATTTTTAATAATCTTGTCATATCAAGTACAGTTACAGATGAATATTATATACATGACAAATTTTATATCCAAGAGATCACCCCACATTGAACCCTTTCATAGCCACAACAGTCCCTGCACAGGTGGAAAGGAACAGAACAGACCTTAGGAAAAAATGGCCGCCAAAATCACGTTGAGAGCAAGAGACTTGCTCTTGCTGGTTAGGTAGTGTTCCTTTCTGCATTGCTCTAGCATCTGCTGCTCTATACAAAACCACTGTATTTGGACAGTTGATGGGACAAGAATGGAATACTATTTGCTGGACATAAGTCGTGTGGCTCTCATGATTTTGGCGGCCATTTTTTATTAAAGTCTATTGAGGTACATTTGTTGTTAATTACTACAATTTTCAAGCATCAAAATGAAGTAGGCATTGCCATCAACAGAATTTTAAGTATTCTCTTGATTTTAAAATTATTGGCATTTACAGAGTAACATTAAAACCCAGCTATCATTTAAAGTACTTTGTAGCAAAACTTGACCATGGCAGTGAAAAGGGACAAACATAGATAATGATCATAGTTAGTGTTGACATTCCTCTTCTAGAATAACTTTCTTTTCAAGGGCAGACTGACATCTATTTCATTGTTAGTGCGATGATGACTTAAGGGGTTGGAGTGATAGAATCAAGACTTTCTCTGACTTGACATAAGTTAAACCTCCATGCCTCCAGACGATCTCTCAACTGTTGCCATTGTGCTCGACCAAATGTCCGATGTGTTGCAGAACTGCAATTAAACAAGGATATACATTTAACAGCTCTAATAACAGTCACCTTTTCTAACAGAAATGCAATTGAATTTACTGAATACTGGATCATTAAAATACGACTTAGTTTGACCTTATACATGCCTGTCATTTATGTAAAACATAGATAAAATTTGTCATCTGTAAGTTGTTGAAAGCCCTTGACATAAAGCAGGGTCCATAGCGTTGGGAAAATCCATTGAAAGTCTTTGGATTTTTTGAGGTTTGGAAAGTCTCTGAGTTGTCTTTAAATTACAGGAAAAATCTTTGAAAAATCTTAAAATTTCTTCATAGTTATTAATTCATTTTAGAAAGGTCCATTTTCTGCAGGGAACTACCATATCCTCAGAACTTTGATGATGATGTTGGCCTCAATTAAGGATCAAAATGTCTTGGGAAATATGCAAAAAAGTTTGGGAAAAGTCTTAGAAATCATTTGGCTTTTGGTGCTATGGACCCTGCAAAGTACATTCGTGACAAAACAAATTTTCGTGAGTCAGTAAAAATCATAAAACTTTGTAGTAGCAAAATGTCCTATGACATGTTGATGACTTTCATGAAATTTTATTTTCAGAAACGCCATAAAATCCTAAAAGTGTGAAAATTTATAGCAACGATTTACAGCACCAACAAACATATTAAATTTCCAGATTGTGTGATGGAATTGTAAAGTTAAACGGGCTTATGAATGTAGCACCAAACATTTCTACTAAAGGTAAAAATATATGGAGAACACATCCTCCCTTCAGACTGACCATCAGGTTGTAGAGTAACTACAATGTCGTCAGGGAAACAACTACAAAGTTACTTACCGTATTACAACTTTTTTCTGCATCTGGTCAATTTTGGTTTGTATCATTTTAGTTCTTACAGCTAAAATCACAAACAAAGAGAAATCCAATAAAAAAACTAGTACTGTAATGCATTATACACTGAAAGTCATTGAAAATAACAGCCCCTTTTGTTGATTTTTTTTCAGAGTGATCTTTTATGAGCTAAACACCAAACACACTAAAGAAGAGGGTTGATAATGAATAAAAACAATTTCATTGCAAAAAAATACAATGACTTAATGAAATAGTTAAAACAATTGAAATTGGTGTGTGGTTAGTATATTACATCAGTAGTAATAGTATATTACATCAGTAGAGTGGTGTTACAGTTCTTGTTGGTTTTTACACATATTATATTTTGCTGTGTGAACATTTCGCAGCATGTTTTCAAAATCACTATATCAATGTACGATTTTCTGTAGCATCAATGACGTGACAGTGAATTAGCCCAAGTAGCCCAAATCTTTGTGCATCCGTGGCACATCATATCGACTGAGAGGG